ATATTAAATTTCAAAACAAACTCAAACATTTTACAAAAAAAAAATTTAATATTTAATCATTATTATATTAAATATTAATTAATAACTTATTATATTATATAATTTATTATATTAAATATTAATTAATAAATTAATTATTAAATATTAATTTATATTAAATAAATAATTCAATTGTTAATCACAATTAATTACCAAATATTTAAATTCTAATCTAAATTAATAATTAATTATATATTGTCCAACATTGATAGAAAATCAATCAAGATTTTACAAAAACATATACATATGTAAATAAAGAGCAATAAATTCTAATAGTAACATTAAAGAATAATGGAAATAAGTATCCATTGTTTTCCTACATTTCTTTACTTTGTCAAATCGTACATTTCTTTCATAATACAAATATGCTGTTATATAATAGCATGAATAAAGTGTGACGATTATTACGCGATTATCGATTTCTCGATGCATCATGTGCGCGTGTTGTACATACATATATACACATACTATAAATATCAGTATTTCTTTGTAGTAGTTAATTGGACTCCTATTTGCGCCGCTGGTCGTGCTTCGAAACATTGTTCCCAAAGTTTAAAGCGAGTTCCTCTTTCGAACTTCTTTACGACATTTCATAAAAAAATAAATAAAAAAAAAAAAAAATACAAAAAACAATATTTTCGCTTTTTGAATTTCCCTCATTTTTCAACGAATCAACGGCCAGTAGCGTACATCGTAGGAATATTGTTTTTCTTTCCCTATTCCTTGAAAACTTCAGAGTGAAGCTATCGCAACCTGAACCGTAATTAAACAGAGCATGAGAACTACGTGTAAATTGACTTTCGATTCACATGTGGGTAAACAGTAGTACGAGTAAATAAATAGATATAATGGCTGCTAATGAAATAGTAGTAAAAGAACAAATGATATTCGAGCCGTTGTTGCCATTCAACCAACGAGAGGATTAAGCAATTGAAGGTGAGTGACAATAAAAGGGGATTATTTTTACACAGATAATTTAATGACGACTTTTATTCTTTTGACATTTCGAGTAAAATAGAATTAGTGAAAGAAGAGGAAAAAAAGAGAAAAAAAGAAAAAAAAATATTGATACATATATATTATATTCGTTAGACGTGCCGAATAAACAAATATTTCTGTAGCGGCGAATATCTTTTCGACTCTTGGAAGGTTAAGTATGATCTATATCGCGACGAGTGTGTAACATAACCTTACTAATTATCATTTGAATGAAAGCGTAGGATGATGTGATTATACAAATATCTATCTTATCCTTCTTGTTTCTGTATCGAAATATCTTAAATATAAATGAGTAGTTCAAGTATGCGAGAAAATTAGGTTTTATTTGAATCGACGACAAGCAAAACGTGTAAATTTTATTTAAGTGGCTTGTTTGATGATTGGTGCAAGAGTAGTGAGATTTTTATTGTAAAATATCAAACATTGAATTTAGAAGAATTCTCTTTTTTTATTCGATCAATGAATCTAATTTAATTATTGCATATTAATCAATGATTGTATAGAATCGATAGAATCCTCCATAAATATTTTATTATAACAAAATATACTGATCGAATAAAATTAGATACATTCGATTTATTATCGATTAGACAAATTTTTATTATCTGTATATTGATCCGGTTTAGAAAAAATTTTAAGAAAAAACGTGTACATGGAGCTTTAAATCATTGATTACAACGATCAATTTTAAATCTGATCAATTAAAGCGGTATAAATTATATTTTTATCACAAAGTCTGAATTTTTATAATATATTAAGAAGTCTACATATTTATTAATATTATGATATTATTTAAATCAAAAGATTATAACAAAAGTTATAAAACAAAGTATATTCAAAAAAATTATATTGTAATAATTAATATTTTAATACGTTTAAATAATTTTGGTTATAAATTATAAGTAATTAAAATTTATTTTGATTTCTGACAATCATAAATTGGTAACAATTGGTTTAGGTTAGAAATAATCTAAATGTTCATTTTAGACTTCTTAACAGATACACGTGCAATATTTTCATTGATATTCAGATTTAAAATTAGTCAATTTTTTTATCATTCCTTAAAAATAAAATTTCTTTTTTTTTCAAACGTTCTATTAAAAACAAAATATCATTTACATGTTCATTATTTTGAAAACTGCTCCATGAACACAACGATAAAAACTTATTAATCGTTTTAATCTCCACGGTAAATCCTTAAACAATGAATTTTTCTTACAGCATCGTAGAAAAGTAGCACCCTTTAATAATTGAAACAACTTACTATATATTGTTAGATATAGTTGCAGTTGACGTAATGGATAATGTTTAGATATTTAGGTAGAAAAACGTATGTTTTTTCTTCGAAAATATGAACGGTGATAAACCTGTAGGAACAAAACGAGGAAGGCGTTTGATCCCGTTTTTGCAACGAATTTCCAAGAACGAGCGTATCGCGTAGTGCCATCAATTTGACATGAAAATTTGCGAGGTGCAAAAAGAAATTGGGTATATTCTTCCATGTGAATTTCTCGCGATAGAGTAACCAAAGAAATTTTTTTCTGCTAAAAAAATCATTGAATATTTCCATCTTTTTGTTCGTATACGAAATTAAATTTGGAAATATACCCAATTTCTCTTCGTAGCCTGAAGTTCAACAACGATGTGGCCTAATTCGAACGAGGGCTGGCCTAATTTGATTATTGAAAATAATTTTGTTTAATTCAGTGGTACAAAGTTGACGAAGAGCGAGCTCGTTGAAACTATAATTAGCG